GGAATTAAAAAAAAAAAAAAAGAGTGGAGAATTCCACCCTCTCGGCAAGTCCTTCTCTCTTTTTCTACCTCCCTGAATTTTTTTATCACTATTATTATTATTATTATTTTTTTTTTTTAATACCATCCATGTATTAATACACTTAAAATTGCACCTGAAAAATTTACTTTAGTCTAAAACAGGTCTTAAATAATTTTCTATTAAAAAATGGCCAATTGTGGTCGTTAACTAGGTAAAAAATTTTTTCAGCAGTTCAAGGTAATATTGATAAATGTAAAAAAAACCTGATCGCGAATAAATGTAGGTTTCTGAAAAGTCCATGCCTGAATAATTTACGTGTAAGCTCTATCCTATTAAAAATTAGAAATCAAATGTTATTTCCATTATTTTTGTTAGAAAACTTAGCCATGTTACTTATTTTGGAGTAAAATAGTAAAACTGTAAATAACCAAGTCATAGCGGCTTCGCATGAAAACAAAAGAAAATATAGTGAGCTGGCTTTACAGACAAAAAAAAATGATTACCATAAAACGATTTTAAACCAAAATAATCGAGGTTTTTACGTACAAGTATTTCACAATTATGTGAAAGTGCGCACTGATGACAACATTTGGAATGTTTGGCTGGCTATACATTGAAAAAAATATTATTAAATATCAAAATTATTAAATGAGCAAGTTTTAACGAAGTGTAAGAAAAATTAAAAGGTATTATCCGCCATAAGTTAAAATTTTCATTAGTTCAGATAAAAACATATCCGTGCACTGAAAACGACAGTGACAAAAATAAAATCTTGTAGTTACAACATTTCTGAGAACATACGATGCAACTATTATGTCCTAGTATCAAAAAATTATATAGTTATACTAGTAATGATTATAATCACTTTTACTGTTATTGTTATTATACTGTACAACCACTTTAGTAATTTTAACACCTTTTACACAAACATGTAATGTACAACAAAATGTTTTGTTTAAAAGTTTTTTTTTTTTTTACTAATTATGTTAGACGTTCTTCTCGCATTATAAGTCATTGTGACGACATTTTTATAACTAGTTACAGATATTTTCATATTTTTATGCTCCATAATCTCAAAACAGAACTCGAGAAAAATAAAACCATGCTTATAATTTTCATCTCTCATCGTACTCGTGTAATCTTTATTTTTGCCGATTTTTTTGAATTTTTTACACGATTTAACTTAAATTTTATTTTTTTTTGTAGTAAAAATATACGTGTCTTGTACAAGGATAGCTATAAATTTATAATATATTATATTACTTATTTTTTAATACTATTTCTAATGCAAAATAATTGTTTGTCTAGTTTTCTCTTTTAAAAGTACAAACGAGTAAAATACCATCACTTAAGATCAATTCTTACAGGATGAATTTACTTTATTTCTCGAATGTAACTAAAATTTAAACCATTTGATTTTTTCTTTACCTCGACAAACAAGCCACGGGATCAGCTTAACCAATCACTCGATGAATTTTCAAATACTTTAAGTATAAAGATAGGAAATCTTTGATCGTTTACTGCTCCCTTGGTACGAAAAAATCTGGCAAGCCCCAGAGGTCCCTCAGATATACGATATGTTCACCTTGGCCACATGCCCCATCAGGTATGAAAACTTGTTTTTTCTAAATACTGGTATACGTATAAAAGTGAGGATAATTATTATTTTTTTTTTTTGAGAAATTTCTTAAATCGATAACTATTTTAGAAACAATTAAGTAGTATCACTTTGTTAAACGGAGATTCCAGAATTTCTCTCATCGAAGGAAGTCATTTGCATCGAAAATTTTTAGTATAGAGTCAACAATTTAAATCTATGAAGGAACACCTCAAAAATTACGGAGATTTTTCGTACAAAGATGGGAATATTAAAAAAACTTTTCGTGTTATCGATTGCATGTATAACTTTTTACGCGATAACATTATTTTATTTCATGACTCTCGGCAACATAATTACTAGACTGTGGCATCACAAGTAGTAAATTAAACATTTCAGAGAGGAATACAGAAATCGAGAAAACAGGTTTTTTTCTTTTTTCGTAATTTTTAATAAGGAAAAAAAAAATCATGTAAGATTATTATTTTTTTAATTGAAAACACAATGCGAGCGTCCCAATAATTTTAAAGTTCCCAATAAATTTTCTAGCGCCAAATCCGCAGGTAAAGATATATACAACACACAATGTTTGGCTGAGCTGCTCTGAAGCACATAAAATCGCATTCGGTCAATGGAACGTAATTTCATCTGTACTTTTGTATTACTCGTGACGCTGGAAGTGGTACTGTTCCTCAAGCGCTGAGCGTATTTATACAACAGCTCAATTATGTAATTAGATGTTCGTGCTTATTTGGAGCAGCTCAGACCGATAAAGTTTGTACATACATTTACACTTTAGACTTCGCGCCTCTTTTAGTCGAGTTAATGAGATGATAGTTTGCCTTTGATGCGTATAGTTATTATTAACGACGTTTTTGTATGCCTAAAACACCTCAATGGACACTTCAATGCAAGCTTAGCTTCTAAGAAATACCCACGTTGTAAGTTACTAGTGCGCCTTAATGGAAATTATAGACGGAAAGAAAAGAGCTTTATGGATGTACGTTTTGAGATGAAGGCTGTATTTCTTGTTTTATATTGACCCCTGACGTGGGGGTATATCATTGTTATTGTAAGTCTCTCAAATTATCTAACTCTAAATAGGTTCAAGTGTAATAATTATTTAATAAATTATTAGCTGCTACGTTATTTCATTATTAATGCTTTGACTGTTACAAGACATCCCAAAGCTAACGCAAATGTTTTTTTAGCATTTTTAAACACCGTGAATTTTTTTGATACAAATTGCTCTTTAAATATACTCTATTGTAATATGTAACCACGTGGATGTGTAAATAATCACATGAAATTTTTTTTGTATCTAAAAGTTTGTTGTAGATTTATGCAGAGATATTTGCTCTCTACAGTTCATTATTCAAACCATTTTGTTATTATGTTTGTTAATAAAAAAAAAAAAAAAAAATTAAAATGCAATAATATGTCTACTAAGCACGTAAGCTTATTTTAATTAGTTTTTTTTAAATATTGAAAAATTCGTATCTAGATTTCACTAGTACTATAAGTTTCAAGGGTATAGTACATCGTTTTGTACTGTTTAATTTGAGTGTTTGATACCTACATAAATTACGAAATGAAAAAAATTATGTGTAAACGAATGGCTTGAAAAGTTTTGTAACTTAGCACCTTAAACGTTTGGATAAAAATAGTTTTTAAAAATAAAAATGGGTCTACTGTATGGGGTTACAACGAAGATATTTCCTGTTTGTGACTATTATGTAATATTATAATGTTAAATATTTTATTTGAATAAAAAAAAACAATTTTTTTCGAGAAATACGGCAATTTTTCATTCCGCAACATATTTCCTGTTACTCATTCAAATCATATACATAGCCTTGCTAAGATTAGGACCCCAAGCTGTCCAATCAATAAAATTATTCAAAAATCTACCTTTTTTTGTTTATTTTTTTTTACTTTACAGTTTATACTGCGTTTAACGGCTCTGCATGTATACCATATCGTCACTATCATATTAAAAAACTACCTTAGATTTTTTGTGAATCAATCACTTACACAGCAATGAGGGCATTTTATTATACACTAGCGCCCCCCCCCCTTCTCGGCTTACTAAATAAAACACCGTAGTGTGTTAGCATGTAATGTGAAATGTTTTCAGTTAAAAATTTTACATCTATTCCTAATACTTCTGGTAACGAAGATCTTCTTATTAAAAACACATTTGTTCGGAGCCCATACAGTTTATTTAGTCAAGTAAGAAGCTGTAAAAATTGAAAAAAATATAATTATGCTGATAAGTACCATACGTTAGACCTTTCTTATTAGACCTGGAAAAGGAGTGTATTGGCAAAAAAAAGTGCGGGATTTAGTTTGTTGAGGGATTTAGGAGCCTTGAATAATCAGCAATCAGACGTACATAGATTCGTACAACTAAATTTATTTGGAAGATTTTTTAATAGAGTACTTAAGGTGGAAAAACGTAGTTTTTTGATTATAGTTTTTTTCCTGTAGATTGTACTTCAAAGTGTCTGCGGAAGAAGTTGTATCAATTCCAAAGACTTACAAAATTAGCCGCGTTGGTTTAAAAACCGTTTTATAGTTTACTTGCAAATTGCAAAAAACCAATGTATAGCGGTTTTTAAAATTTGCTTATAATTAATAAAAATTGATCCCAATTGTTTGAAATTGCTCTAAAATTGTAGCTCTTGTATGGTACAATAAGTCCTCCAAAATTGAAATTTGTAAGTTTAACCATTTTTGCGCAATTGAAATTGTTTGATATAAAAGTGGTTATTTTTAAATTAATTATTAGGGCTAGAGGCCATTCTACAGCGTCCAACAGGTGACCACTTTGTTCGTTAAGAGTTATACTTTACATTTCTCTTTTACAGTTTATCAATTTTTAAAATTGCTTAATGGTAAAATGATCTGCAAAAAAACCACTTAATTGCAAATTGAATATTAGCAACAATTTGAATACAATCTCTACCGGACTTTTCTATCGAAAAGCCTGATTTTTTTCCTTAATTTAGAAAAAAAATTTAATGTTCTACGACCCTGGGGATCCAAGATTTTTTTTTTTTTTTCATTTAACTCTCACGACTTTGTTAATTTTCCGTAGACACTTGATTTTTGGATATTTTATTCTTAAATACCTATATTTTATGAAAAAAAATATTTGATTGTTATTGACTGCTGTTCTCTTTTGCAAAAGTGATTCAGAAGTGAGGGTTAGTATTGTGGCGGCCGTCCCGACCGAGCTTCGGGGGAGCCCCCGGCTCTGCAGCTTCTGATTAATCTGATTACGCGTGCTCAAAACTGCCTGCGGACCCTGCGGTTGGAAAACCATCAATATCTCGGCTTTCCTGGGTCGTAGAACAACCTTTTTTTTTTTTTTTTCTTTAACTGGGGTAGCTCGAGCAGATAAACCGTTTTGCGTACTTTATTGAACTTTTTGAGATTGTTTACTGGTGAAAAAAGACCATTTCGAAAGATTGTTGTCCAGCGTGCATCTACGGCGCGTTTCTTTAGATACACCTCTAATTTTTCTTAATTTACCTTTTCACTTTGAGACTAATACCAAACAATGAAGTGATTATCATAATAATAATAATAATAATAATAATAATAACAATAATAATAATAGTAATAATAATAATAGTAGTAATATTAACTAATAGTTCGATCGTAAAATTGTCATTTTCCCTGCGTTGTAGCAGTATGTAAGCTTATTAGTAATAATCGGTTAAGCCGGCGCTCTCAGCCAAAGCATCGGATCTAGGCTAATTAGCATCCCCGGAGAAGCCCCATCTTTCAGGGACCACTTCTCGTTGGTAAGGCCGGCGATCCCAGCCTGGCATTGGATCCGCTAATTCCTACCTACAGCCCTAACACTGTTTCGCATTTACCCAGGACTAAAGACTCGTGTGGCAACAAAAACCCTGGAATTACTTTGAAGGAAAATTTCACGGCAAAACCCGCCTCAAAACAGCCGGGTTTGCAGAGGAACTTTTTTCGAACAGTTTTTGAAAAAATCTGCACTTACCGGGAATCGAACTTACGATCCCTAGAACGACGTTCTATCAGTAACAAGCACTTACGATTAAAGATGTTTTACTTTAAAAGATCTTAAGGAAAGCCCTGCCGATTGCCCTACCCGGCTCCGTCACTTTTCCACGGCTACCTATGTAGTTTTTCCGCATGTCCCAATCGCTGTGGTTAGCTCCTCGTCAATTGTGCAATGCTTACTGTATCATCTAAGAGTAAAAAAAACGGTGCCTAGCTTTCCAGTAAAATATGTACCGTTCTGTCAGAGCAGTACATAAGAATCAACAGTGGCTCGAATTATTTGTTCTCGAGTATACAGATTTCAAAATTCAAAGAACATAGATTTAATATCAGTGCGATAGAATTAGTTTTTTGGCGTTGCCAATTCCGAGTGCGGAGAAAAAATGAATTTAAGTAAATATAATAATAGTATGAAAATAAAGTGAAATCCAACACTTTACCATTGCTAGTAATGATCTAAAAAATAGTAAAAATTGCCAAAATCCATTTTTTGCAGATTCAGTTATAAAAAAAGCTTTCAATACACTTATGCACCATAAAAAAATGAAAAAAATAAGCTGTGGATGAACCTTATTGGTCCAACGGTGTCCCCGGAAATCGCAAAACTCAATGGTTTGGCTCGAAATTTCTGTAAAAAGGAAAAAAAAACTACGATTATTTTTCGCCTATTCTATCACACTATATGACATATCGTAGTCACAATTATAAGTGACACAAACCCAACCAAAGACAAGCAAGTAAGTCTTTAATAGAAATTCAAACTTTGCTGCAGCACCAATTGCTAATGTAAATTTACATGAGATGATGAATTTCAGAAGCTAAGAGGGAAGGCTTTTTTATAGTTTTCCAACGTTGGCGCCATCCATACCTCTAACTTTACACGTTGTGATGAATATTCAAATCTCCCCTACTGGAATCAAAAAGTTTAGCATACTGTAGTCACGTAAGGTTCGATCCTAAGAATAAACAAAAACGTTCAAATAATAGAATATAGGTGAGTTTTACTGTTATTTTGTTAAAAAAAGTTCACTGATCGTACATTTCTTCATTGATTTTTATTTCTCAGGGTTACTCACAAACAAAAAACGGCCAATGAATCTTCAGATATTCAGAATCATCTGTTACGTACGAAAGCATATAGCTATGCGTGCGTGCGCCTCTGCTGGCTTGGGCCCGAAAGGTAGGGGAATAGAGAAGAGAGGTGATAGGAAAGGTAGAGAGAAGGGACAGGGAGATCAGCAAGAGACGCGAGAGGGTAAGGACGAAGTCCGCGAAACGATAATACATGCACAACTTCCCTCAATGATAAGTAATTCTAATAAAGCATAAGTAACAACAAGTCACGCTTCTATTTATTCCCGCACCGAGAATCCCACGTAACAGCTGGTGTCAGAAGTGGGATACAGATAACATTTTTTATGGTCTGTCGCGTGTGCGGAAATCACTTAGTCTCGCGGAACAAAAAAAAATATTTTTTAATAATTTTTTCTTGTCTTAATTAACGTAATAAATAAAAGAAAGAAAAAAATATATCTCCCGCCGCAAAGAAAAAAGTGTCAAAAGTGCCAGACGCCAAATTCAGTGTGTCAAGTGCCACAATTCAAGGGAAATTGGAAAAGGAAAAGAGAACAGGAAGATATAATCGTAAAAATCTTCGATACCGCAAGGATACTGGACAAGGAAAAACTGCATATCAAGCCAGTGGACCAGCATACCAGGACACTAGAGGCAGCTACCATTCACTCAACCCGGAAAAATACAGACAAACAGAAGAAAGCACGGTACGCCAAGCCCGGACTACAGCCACAGAACACGGGATACACGGCACGGAAGAAGGAAACAACGAGCGAAGGCAGAAGCTGAGCAACTCCAGGAAGGATCAAAGAAGGAAGCCATAAGTATGCACGGGATCATCGTCATGCTGACCATCGTCACGGCGATCTGGTAAGTGAATTTTCATTACTCGTATATACTATACTCATAACCCCCGAGGGAAATACGCACCTATAAGAAAAAACTTAAATATCGATATTATTTCTAAATCGCAATATCCTCAGACCTTAGCGGCAACCCATAATTGCATGCACAAGCATATAACCGATACAAACGACAAACACCCCATACAAAAATTTTTAAATTAGTTAATAAATACAAGGAGCCAATCGAAAATAAAAACGAAAAAAATAGACTATCGACTAACACTCGATAGAGCGCGCGTATCTATCAGGTTAACACAAAGTACACAGAAACGACGGCGTTTTACGATTAGAAAAATATAAATACGAACTAGAAAAGCACAAGACAAACTACAGAAAAAAAAGACTTAAGAGCAACAATATGAGTGACGTAGAAACAAATGATACACTGGGAATGGGAGTACAAGAAGCCGTGAGGTGCACAGATATACACGAAACAGGACCAATTGACACAGATGACGAAGTAATACATATTAATTTAGAAGATGATCCGGAAACATGGACAGAGTGGCAGAAGGCCAGCAAAAAACAGAGGCTTTTTATGATGAAAATGTTAAGGAAACTAACGCCAAGCATCAAATGCGGACAGTTATCTCATAGACAGGACATAAGCGATAACGAAACTGATGCGCCATCCCACACAGAAACACATAGACCCCCGTATTTGAAAAATTAACTTCATATACCGAACGTGAAAATGCGACAACCGACATAAATCGACGAGTCACTAATCCACATAGCGATAAAACACAAGCCAAGCACGACACTAATTTACACGATATAATAAGAGAAGCAGCGGCACAAGCGGTGCAACAATATACAAATCGAATACCTACACCTACACAACCAAAACATCAATCATCACAACAGACGTACGGAGAAGTTACACGGGGTCAAACACAAATGCGAACCCCAGTAGCTCAAGGCGAGCAAGAAACCGGGAACTACGGCATCACCCACAATACAAACCACGACAATAATTATTATAGACAGAACACAGCGGCACCACTTTATCCTGCAGGAGAGGACGAGTTAGGTTGGGCAAATAGAAATTACTTAAACGCCCAAGACCGATTTACAGTACCCCCACATTACACAGGAAATCCTAATTACGAACGCCCAATTCAGAATACACTGTCGTCACTAAGTCACCTAGCAGCAAACATACCGATATTTGACGGCGATTCCGTTAAACTACCCCTTTTCGAACAAATGGTAAGAGTGGTATCGTGAACGGTAAGCCCCGTATATGAAAAATTTTTTATAGGCTCACTAGCAAATAAGCTAAAAGAAGCAGCTGCCGAATTGATACCACGCCTGGCACAGTTCTCATCTGTAGACGAATTCTTGGTAGAATTGAAAAATAGGTACAGCAGTATCGGAAGCGTCGACACGTTATTAGCAAAATTAAAAGTAGTGAAACAACACATAGGGGAATCAGTAAAGGAATACAGCAGGCGCGTTCAAAAATTATACGATAGAATAATAACCCTATACGATTCGGACACGACACTATCACCCGGGCAACGACACGCATTAAAGGAGAGCGCTGAAAAAGCAGCTATAAAGCAATATACGTACGGGATACAATCACCTTACAACTACAGGGTAACATGCCTTAACCCGAAAACGTTAGGCGAAGCTATAGTAGCCGCGCTGAAAATGGAAAGCGACTTAAGCCTACGAGAAATAATCCCGGCACGAATCGAGGCCCAAATATACCAAGCGAGAGCAGAAACAAGAGATACGGATGATCGTGCGAGCAGCCACGAGCAGGCAGAAATACGTGACTAAACAGATAAAAATAAAATAACAGGGGACTATTAATATTGCTCATATTGCAATGAATACGGGGAGCATGCTACAAAAGTATGTATGAAATTAGTAGCAGACGCAGCGAATAAGAGAATTAAAAACCCAGACATAAAAACAAATGATCCACCAGTGCAGGTATCACAAGATAAACAAAACGTAAGGGATAAAAATTGTGCTTACTGCAAACGCAGGGGGCACTATACAAGCGAATGCCGCACACTAGTAAGAGATGCAGAGAATGGGAGAATAAGTTGGAGCGACGGACGCGAACAATTTAACAATAATAACAGGGAAAATACGGAAGGAAATTTTAACTACCGGAATAATTATAATTATCCCCCTAATACGTATAGCCAAAACTATAATAACGGTTATAGAAGGAACCCCTATACGAATATAGGCTACAACAGATATAATAACTACAACAGAAACGCTGATTACCCAAGAAATAATAATAACAATTACAACAACCAGTACGGTAACAACAATAATTATAGAGAAAATTATAATTATAACAGAAATTATAATAGGGATGAAAATTATAACGACAGAGGACCTCCAAATGGAACAAATGATGCACCTGATGAAAAAATATCCACGCGTAGCACGGAACATTTAAACTCGCAGGACGCTCGTCGTGCTCCCCAAGCGCCGAGCGGGCCCCGAGAATAGAGAAGGAGATAGATCATAAAAACGAAACGGAGTCAGCTGAAGGAGAGGAGCAAGCAGAGTCAAATAAAATAC